ACACGCACATGCACTCACACCCACCCACCCACCCACACACACACACACACACATGCACACACACATGCAATCACACCCACACCCACACACACACACACACACACCCACACATGCCCACAAGCGATTCCATCAGCTACTTTGCAGTGATACCTGTAAGTGACATGCTGACCGTCCTCGTCCACAGGCAATAGAAACTCGAAGTATCATTGCACTTTCCACTGAACGGAATCCATTCACTTCCGGCAATAATAAGAGAGCTCTGTAGAAGGCAATTACATTCTTGTACCCTGACAAAATCAGCCAACAAACAATCAGCGATACGGGACCATCTATGGACGTGACCGACAGGCGCATGCACATTGTCGCTTCATGTTCATGACACAGCGAAGTTAAAAGTTAGAACCTGCGTAGCATCGTGTTCGCATTCGGGGACCGAGCCCGAACGTTCGCAACCGAACGCAAACGAGCACCAAAATCCTCCAAACGCAAACATATATATTGTCACACTGTGAATCAGAGCACGAAGGCGAAAAAAAGGAAAACAAGGAAAGGAAAAGAAGGAAGGAAGGAAAGCCCCACCTGTTCATCACCTCTTATGTACAAGGCCAGCCACATGGATGACAGGTTGAGCGCTGGCTGCCCCCATCCCCATGTGTCACAAGGACCCACTTGCACGCAGCCCAAAGGCAAAAACGAGGTAAAAAAAAGAAAAGGAGGAGGAAACCAGACCTCACAGAGGCAAAGAGAAAGAGAAAGGTCAAAGAAAAAACAAAGGAAGAAAGCAAATGACACATCCCACACATAAGCCAATTGCCACTGTCACTACAAAGTTTGCCATTTTTTTTTTCTTTTTTCCTTTTTCTTGTTTTCTTTTTCTTTTCTTCAGAAATTTGTACTTTTTCTCTTTCTTTCTTTTTTTCTTTCTTTTTTTCTTTCTTTTTTTCTTTTTTTCTTTCTTTCTTTCTTTTTTTTTTGTTTCAATTTTTTTCTTTCTTCTTTCTTCAACTCCACATCTGTTGGTAGTATCGACAGCTTTATCTGTTCTACAATTTGTGTTGCTCCTGATCGCTTCATTCTATTGACCAGTCAGGAAGAGGAGCCCCCACCCCACCCTGGCAGATAGGACAGGCACGCTGAGGAGCATGACGTGGATGTTCACAAGGATACCCAAGGAGAGCTACTTCAGCACAGCATTCAGCAGGACGGCTAGCAAGGACCAGCCCATCAAAACAGTCCCGACAAAGGACATGCTGTCCACATGTCAAAAAAACAGCAGGACGTTCATCCCAGTGCGGCATCATGCAGTCCTGATAGCGTGCTTGAGCACAAAAGGGACAGCGAATATCTGGGTGATAGGGATGTGTACAATGAGGAAATCTTGGACACCCTTCGGCACAGACGGCGGCGGCTGCAATAGATTGATAATGTTGATGGCATAGAAGATGAATTCTGCAGCCAAGACGCACCGCGTCCCTGTCCCGACAGGTGTCACACGAGAGTCGATCAATAATCCAGAATAAAGTATTATTCGGTAATGCACACAGAAATTCATTTATAATATTTTTATATTGAAAATACCCTGAATCATTGTCCCACCATCCCACAGGTCCCACTGGGCAGCTGCACGAACGAGTGCCATATAATGCCCGGGTCTGTGCAAAATACAGGCAGAAATATGAGGATGGTCATTAAGGTCATTGCTTGGCGTCGCATGATGCATAAGAAGGTGGCGACTGTGGAATATGTATATTTAACATAATCTCAGAAAACTCTGAAAAAAAAAATATATGTTATGTAAAATAATAATACAAACAACTTTTGCCTGGGAGGCATGTTCAAATTCTTAGCCAGACACAAGTTAAAAATAAAAAACCATTAAAAAAATAAAAATAAAATAAAAAAGTTCGGCCCAACACCCGAACGTGTTAGGGCGTTGGCGAAAGCCCCAAACACGTTTGGTGTGCTACACAGGTTAGAACATCCAGATTCCAAAACAAACTGCTGCTGTTAATTAATTGAATTTAATACCCGTTTTATTGCTTTCCACCGAGTAAGCACCACTGCTGCTGAACACACCGTAAGAATTTGGTGGCGAGCTAGGCTACCGAAGTGACCCGGGGTCACTTGCCCAGCCGGGCCAAAACAAATTAAAAAAATAAAAATAAAAAATATATTTTCAAATTTTATTTTGTATTCTAAATTTGGTGACGAATTTCGATGTGACCCTGAGGCAAAAATTGTTCAGTTTACTTTTTCGCATAGCATAGTTTTTTTTTCGGATTTTTTGGATTTTTTGGATTTTTTTCTTTTTTTTTGCTGGGACCTTGCCTGTGTGAGGATTGAGCCCTCAAGTACGGGCCTTGCCATGATGTACATGTTATGGGCTAAGGCCCCAGCAAGCCTAGTGCCCGCCCTAAGTGAAGGCGGGCCAGCAAATCGGCAAGAGCCCTCTGTGCAACATTTCACGAAGTGGGGTTCATACAGTTGCAGCACGCCAGTTGGTTGGAGTGCACCGAATCTCGGATTTCAGCAAATGCTGAAAGCCCAGGGCCTCTGAGTTGGTTAGGCCCTGGGCATCTGAACGTGAGGCCGACAATGCATGCTGGGAAGAGAGGCCGAAAATGCCGAAGGGAAATCGGCCCACTGTCTGAATCTGGCCGCAGGCCTTGATGAAGGAGGCGCAACTGCCTTACCCCGGGGCCCAACTGTATCGAGTTGGCTTCAGCCTCTGGGCCCCGGTCACAGGCTGAAGGAAGGCCGCCCACAAACTGCACTGGCATATAGGCAAGCAGGGCGAGGCAGCGAATCTTGGCCAATGCTGGCATATGCGGGCACGCTGCGCAGATGCAAGTGTGCTGCGCTAATGCAGAGCAGCGCTGCGCTAAGAAGAAGCAGGGCAGCGCTAGGCGGTAGGGCGCTGCCTGCTTGCAGAGCACTGGCGGCCATAGCCGGGCCGCAATGAGGGTGCAGGGGAGGTGAGGGCGAAGGTGGTACTTCGGAGGTGAAGGGAGCTGTGTGGGTAACAAGGGAGAGTGTGGGGAAGATGACACGTACCTGGTGATGGTGGAGGTCTGCATTGGTGTTGACATCATCACTCGCTGGTAGTCAAGTTGTCCGGTTGCTGTTCATTGCTGTAGTTGTAGGATAGGCTGTAGAGTAGATAGGGCGCCTGGCGCCATTCACAAGAGCGAGCTACATTTGGGTTATGCTGTTGGTGTTGCACTGGTGGGCATGGACATTGACTCACGATTCTTCTGTATCATTCTCAATGGGATGGTTACTCGGTTCCATGTGCTATCTGCTTTGGCTTTGAATACTTGGACTTCAGTGTGATTTTGCATTCCGGATTTCTGTGCTTCATCCATACTCATGTTCCTTGCACCTGGTCCTTGCACGGGCTGGCCACCTGGGACCCAGGCGGCCCGGCTGGTAGCCTAGGTGGCGAGCAATAAAATGGGTATTAATTAACTTACTAAGCACCAAAAGCACAGGCTGGAAAAATAAGGGGCTCAGAAACTATGTGCCAGGGGAGAGGATTATGGAGGAGGACCATAGACTGGGACAGAAGTGAAACAAGATGCTAGGCTTAGAGGAGGTTGGGGATAGGCTGGCAGCTTTTTGAATTTATTCACCTCAGCTTTCGATCGATAGAAATCAATGGCAGATGAGGCTCAGGGTTCTCCCTCCGCTTCTTCTTCTTCTTCTTTCTCTTCTTTTTCTCTTCCTCCTCCTCATCCCTGTCTCTTATACACATCTAAATTTGTATAAAAGACAGGCATAGTAGGTTTTTTTAGTTTTTTTTTTTTTTTTCATCTTTTTCTTTCTTTATCCGCTTCTTCTTCTTCTCTTTTTTTTTTTGGGGGGGGGGGGGGGGAACGCGAGGGGGACGGGGGGAACACCACTGCCCAGTCTTTTTCACAGCACCTGACAGCATAACCATGACATGTTTTTTTTTTTAACTTATTTATTCATTTATTAAATTATTTATTCACATGTTTTTCTTTCCCTCCTCTTCCTAACGTTTTTACTCTTCATCAACATGCCGCATGCTGATCTGATAAATATCTTTGTGACCTCATTAATATTGCAGTCAGATTAGAAAAAAAAAATAATAATAATAAAAAAACGTATCTGATGATGGTTTGTCAGGATGAGTGTCTGCTGAAGCAGCCTGTCACAATAGACAAGAAGCAAGAAACACAAAGAAAGGAGATAGGAAAAACAGAGAAAAGAAGCACAGAAAGGAGGAAATGCAATGTGCTATGATATGGACAATCTATATATCGTCAAACAGAGCTGCCTACGGTAAACCGTAGGCAGAGAGGGACAAAAGGGATAAGAGGACAACAAACGAGGGGGGGCTGTGACAAACTGTTTCGTCGGGAGTTTCACCAACTCGTCAGGAAGCTGAACCCTCAAAAACAGTCTGCAGAATCCCCTAACTGATTACACTGTAAGTGATAATCCACCTATATATCGTCAAACAGAGCTGACCAGTAAACCGCAGGCAGAGAGGGAGAAGAGGACTACAAACGAGGGTCCGTGACAGACTATTTCGTTGAAGTTTCACCGATTCATCAGGAGGCTGAACTGTCTCTTATACACATCTAGATGTGTATAAGAGACAGGTGGAGGAGAAGGGAGAGTGTGGGGAAGATGACACGTACCTGGT